GACAGACAGACAGACAGACAGACAGACAGACAGACAGACAGACAGACAGACAGACGGACAAACAGACAGACAGACGGACAGAGACATAGACATAGGCAGAGACAGAGACAAAAACTAAGACTAAGGCAGAGATTGATCGATAAAACGATATGTTTCCTACTTTCTGCCTTTTCTGGGTGTTTGAGTCCAAAAATCTTACATCATACAAGCTAAACGAAAGAAAATAAGGGTACATACCACCAAACATGCTCCAACAGATCCTGCATTCTTTGCCACATTGGCGGGAGAGACAAAAATAGCAACATGGCCTGTGACGGAAATGAGAATAGCCGAGCAGTTCAGCAAGGTCATTGTTCTTTTCAAGCCCACTTTTTCCTCACTCCCCTGTGTACTGACATGATCCAGCTCATGGTCAAAAGTCACAGGTGGAAGATTGGCCTCATCGAGTCCTGGTCCAGAAATTGTAGCAATACGTCCTCCCTCCACACGGCGAGAAACTTGGTTACTGGAAGATGAACTGATATCGTCCGGAATGAACGCTTTGTTCACCCGGGAACCGTTCAGACTTTGTGAGAACCCAGAGGAATAAGGCTCAGTGCGACTCAGAGCAGCAGCCTGCAGACGATCAACGGTGTCCATCTCGAACGCGGGATTTTCTTTCCCTGGTTTCTGGGACGACAACGTAACTGAGACATCGTCGTATATTTTGGAACCACCCTGAATGTCCAAATGTTTCCGACGTCTGCCCATAATGAGAGATCTCCTTTAGGGGTGTTCTAGTTTTAGGAGTTTTCGATAACGTATGGGTGTCTTCAAGCCTTTGCGGGCGTATACTGGTGTTTATTTATACAAGTTGTAGATTTCACCCTTGGGTTACTTCGTTGCTTGTTGTTTCCTTTTCACCTGAGGGAGAGAAAATGAGAGGTTGGTCAATGTTGATAAACACTCTTCTCAAAAGTTTAAAGCCTTGTTCATAAGTGAAACAGAGAACATGGCGGTGAATTGGACTCACATTAAAGTCATCAATAGCAAGTACGGAAAGAAAAAAGGTGAGTTGGAATTGCAAGAGTTTTAAAAAAAGCTTACGTACGAGTTTTACGACACGTGAAATACAATAACGTTATACAAGCGCTGAAGATTAGAGGAGTTACAAGGGGATAACAAACACAAAAAAGAGGAGGAGAGATAAGGACTATAGATGTTTGATAGGAAATAAGAAGCAAACCACACCAGAGCACTCGCCAACCACCCACAATTCCCAGAGACAAAAGAACAGAGAGTAGTCAAGCACCGTAAAGCAGGATGGAATTCTGCAAAATTAAGGTTGTCACCAACTTTGCAGTAAAACTAAAAATCCGTGTATGTGTTTCACTGAGTTATCCCCTGTTAAGCTAAAGATTTAAACCTACAACATAAGGATAATTGGTCGCTTTTAAGCACAAGGGTGCTATCACGAAAAATGGGGTTTTGAGGAAATCGAAGTTAAAGATTTTGTCCCTTGTTCAGTTTCTTTAAATGACAAGGAGAGTTTTCTCTATAACCAAACAAATATACACACCAAAGGAACCAAACTTCTCCTATAGGTAGGGCAATACCCACTTTTGGTGTAGGTCAAGATTTCTGGAAACCCCTAAAATCTGGGTTAGCGTGCTTGTCCCTAAATACGACAAATTTTAAAAGAGCCAAACGTGAAAATGAATTACTTGAGCATTCTCTGGAACAGATAAAAAGTGGTGTGACTTTGCCGGTGCACCCGTTATCGTCCCATATCTACGTTTCACCACCCGTTTGGTCCTACTTTTTTATTTCTTTACCCGTGTTCGTCCCACATCTTCGTTTCACTACCCGTTTTCGTCCTATTTTTTAAGTCACGATTTTCAACCCGCATTTGGAATGTAATCAAAGATTGTACACTACAAGATGGTTCACTCCTCTCCCTTCCTTCCCCCCTTCCTTCTCTCCTTTCTTCCTTCCTTCCTTCCTTCCTTCCTTCCTTCCTTCCTTCCTTCCTTCCTTCCTTCCTTCCTTCCTTCCTTCCTTCCGGCTGGCCTCCATTAGGAGGGCGGCAGTCTGCAGCAGGCAGACAAGCAAGAGGCAACCTCGTGTGGCCTCGTCCAGAGTACATCCAGGTACGGTGTTAAATGCAGGGGTGTATTGGCGTTCGGGTTGGAGCTGTATTTTTTCCAGGGTCTGCAGCACCGCGTAGATGTCCCAATAATGACTACAGGTTCACTTCTCTCTTTGAGCCTATTAAAAAGCGTTCTCAAAATCCGGTGGCGCCCTCTTCCAAAAAGAGCACACTTTGGGACAGAGTTACCCTACTAGAGTGAAAAAATCAAAGTAAAACTGACAAGTTTTTAAATGAATTAGAATTCACATTTCGCAAAGACGCCGCTTTTAAATGGTTACGCTGACAAAAAGCTTCTTTCAGTTGAAAGGGGCGACTATTTTCGTCGTTTAATTTGGCTTTAGAATGAGAGGCAAGAGGTCATTCAAATGTTTTAAAACCCCATAACTCCGCACAAACAGCTGATTTTAGACTCTCTCTCTCTCTCTCTCTCTCTCTCTCTCTCTCTCTCTCTCTCTCTCTCTCTCTCTCTCTCTCTCTTTCTCTGTCTCTCTCTCTCCAAAATTAAGGTCCATGTTGATGAACCCGCTTCTCAACAATTAAGTACTTTGTTCAAAAGTGAAACAGAGAACAAAGTGGTGGATTGGACCCACATATTTGTTAAAGAGCTAAACGTGATTATGAATTAATTGAGCATTTTCTGGAACAAGTCAAACGTGGTGTGACTTTGCTGGTGCACCCGTTTTCGTCCCATATCTACGTTTCACTACCCGTTTTGGTCCTACTTTTTGTTTCACTACCCGTTTTCGTCCTATTTTTTTTTTCAGTCACGATTTTCGACCTGCGTTTGGAATGCAATCAAAGATTATACTCTACAACTTGGTTCATCCCCCTCTTTAAGCCTATCAAAAAGGCGTCCTCAAAAATCAGGTGGCGCTCTCTTCCAAAAAGAGCACACTTTGGAACAGAGTTACCCTACTTGAGGGCAAAAATCAAAGTAAACCTGACAAGTTTTTAAATAAATTTGAATTCAAATTTCGCAAAGACACCGCGTTTAAATGGTTATGTTGACTGGTTAAGCTTCTTTCAGGTGAAAGGGGCGGTTCTTTTCGTCGGTTAATTTAGCTTTAGAATGAGAGGCGAGAGGTTTTTATAATTTTATGAAACCTAAAATCCCCGCACTAAGTGAACCTGAACAGCTGATTTTAGATCATTGAACAGCTGCCGTTAATTCGCGTGCTCAAGGGGGCGATATTCCTATTCTTCTTCTGGAGAAACAGAAGTGACTGAAGCGCCATCTGAAACAATGCACGAAAGCTACAGGCATTTTGTGGCTTAATGAATCATCTTGTAGTGTACGATCTTTGATATAATACAATCGATTTCCTTTCGATACCTATAATCGATCTCTCCTCTCTCCATCCCCCCTCTCCCTCTCTCCATCCCCCTCTCCCTCTCTCTCTCTCTCTCTCTCTCTCTCTCTCTCTCTCTCTCTCTCTCTCTCTCTCTCTCTCTTTCTCTACAAAATCAAGACCCATTTTAATGTACAGGCTTCTCAACAATTTACATCTTTGTTCTAAAGTGAAACAGAGAACAAGGAGGTGATTGGACCCACATATTTGTAAAAGAGCCAAACGTGATTATGAATTACTTGAGCATTTTCTGGAACAGGTAAAAAGTGGTGTGACTTTGCTGGTGCACCCGTTTTCGTCCCATATCTACGTTTCACCACCCGTTTTGGTCCTACTTTTTTGTTTCATTATCCGTTTGCGTCCTACGTTCTTTTTTTCAGTCACGATTTTCGACCCTCATTTAGAATATAATCAAAGTATTCAAAGATTGTAAACTTCAAGATGTTTCACTCCTCTCTTTGAGCCTATTAAAAAAGAGTCTTCAAGATCCGGTGGCGTCTCCTTCGAAAAGGAGCATACCTTGGGACAGAGTTACCCTACTTGATTGAAAAAATCAAAGTAAAACTGACAAGGTTTTAAATAAATTAGAATTCAAATTTCGCAAAGACGCCGCTTTTAAGTGGTTACGCTGACAAAAAGCTTCTTTCTGGTGAAAGGGGCGACTATTTTCGTCGTTTAATTTAGCTTTAGAATGAGAGGCGAGTGGTCATTAAATTTTTGAAAACCCTAAAATCTCAGCACTAAGTGAACCTGAACAGCTGATTTTAGACCGTTGAACAGCTGTAGTTAATTCGCGTGCTCAAGGGGGCGCTGTTCCTATTCTTCTTCTGGAGAAACAGAAGAGAGCTTCAAAACAGTGACTGTAGTATGCGTGAACGTTACGGGCATTTTTTTTTGGGGGGGGGGGGGGCTGAATGAACCATCTTGTAGTGTACGATCTTTTATATAATATTATCGATTAGCTTTTGATATCTATAATCGATCTGTCCTCTCTCCCTTCCTCCCCCACCCCTTCTCTTTCTCTCTCTCTCTCCTCTCTTTCTCTCTCTCTCTCTCTCTCTCTCTCTCTCTCTCTCTCTCTCACTCACTCTCTGTAAAATTATATGATGAATATGCTTCTAAAACATTTCGATCTTTGTTCAAAAGTGAAACGGAGAACAGGGTGGTGGATTGGACCCACATATTTGTAAAAGAGCCAAACGTGATTATGAATTACTTGAGCATTTTCTGGTACGGGTCAAATGTGGGACGACGTGGCCGGTGCACCCGTTTTCGTCCCACATCTTCGTTTCACTACCCGTTTTCCTACTTCTTTGTTTTAATACCCGTTTTTGTCCTACATCCTCTTTTCACCACCCGTTTTCGTTCCACTTTTTTCAGCCAAGACAATTGCTATATTATGACATAACCGATTACCTTTCGATACCTATAATCAATCCCTCCCCCCCCCCCCTCTCTCTCTCTCTCTCTCTCTCTCTCTCTCTATCTATCTATCTATCTATCTATATCTATCTCTATCTCTCTGTCTATCTCTATCTCTCTGTCTCTCTCTCTCTATCTCTATCTATCTCTATCTATCTATCTATCGATCTATCGATCTATCTATCTATCTATCTATCTATCTATCTATCTATCTATCGATCGATCGATCGATCGATCTCTATCTATCTATCTTGATCAGTCATCGTGGAAGCAAATACAACAACTAAGAATTGGTCAAGCGTACAGAAATCCCGACAGTGCAGTGGATTTGGAGCACGGGCCAAGAGATGTTTTGGATTATCTCTTTGCCTGCCTCAGAGGTTCGGGTTTGCTCCGCGTTCATCCTTTACTTAAACAGGTGAGCGGGTGGACAGATTTTGTGACTACCTGCTCAAAAAACAACATGACGATTTTATTCCGCTTCAGAGAGGTTATAAATAGTACCAGAGCCCGTGGCTGTGGTCTCCCCCATGTAAACACTAGTGGACTGCGTATGGCCACTCCACGGCTCTTTGCGGCAATGTCTGAGTGAATTAGAGACACCTCTGTCACGCCGCGCGTCCATCGCAACGCCTACTACAAATGAACAGAGATATCTAATGTTTGTTTTTCCAAGATGGGATGGGGGAGGGGCAGAGGAGACAAAGTGGGTAACTCAATTTGTTAAGAAAAATGACACTTTCATACTTATAAAACGGCTTGCTGTTACGTCACGTTGGATGTGCATTCCTTTTCATGATGCAGGGAGATGATTGTCTTCGTCAGTGTTTGAAGTATTGTTCCCATATCTTTGAGATTGTACATGTCCCTGATCAATTTTTCATGATTTTGTAACATGATCTGTTGATGACCTGGAATGGTTCCTTTATTATTTGATCGAAGAGGCTGTCTTCGATAGGAATTCAATATTGAAGCGTGCCGACATAATGAATTACTTCTCG